GCGTGCATTTAAACGGGTTAAATCTCGGCTCCGAGATTTAATTGCTACGCCCCTGCAGCGACTGCTGGTGTGGAGGCGGGGAGCCCACCAGGGGGTTAGCAGTATCGCTTTTAACTTGGTCTGCCATATTAAGTCCGAGGATCAGCTGTTCTTAATGCGCTGTAGTGACTACCCGCACGATATCTATTAAAAATGTTCAAGTAAGATAAGTTAGAAGTCTGACCTTAGTAAGTATAATCCACTTGCTTTAATTGTTGTTTGAAGGGTGTGCACGTGTATACTAATGTTGAGAAGTTAATTGTGAATAAGCCTCCAATAATTGGAAGAAATAAGTAAATTATCAAATCAGGAGAGCAAGTAATTGCGTGTTAAACATAGGGTTACTATAGTGTAAAAACGAACTTGCTTTCACCTTTCCACAGATAATGACGCGCATGCGCGGTTTATCCATTTTTGCTGGCCGTTGGTTTGATTTTTGGTGATGCACATTCGATCACAAAGTGTATTTTTCTCATTTATTTTTTTTCACTAACGCACGTACATGTACAGGAAAACCGTGCTATACAGGGCTGTTTGAAGAAGTCCCGACGCACCAGAAAGGGGACAAATAAATCTGAAGAATAATGAAGTACAACTGCAAAAGCCAATTTTTTTTCGTTCTTTTCGCTTTTGCTTACCCACGTTTACTGCTTACTCTGCTCTTGGACATAACGAGAGACCGGAGACAGAGATGGTAAACAACTGTGCCCGTTCACCAAGGTTACCCTGCCCTGATGGTACTGGCCGTGGTAATGTTAACCCACTGAATCAACAAGTTAAAGCTTAAGTAATTATTATAAACTAAATTTCCACTATAATTGAACTTTAAAACTAATTAACTGTAAATAAAATCGTCAGAATCGACTTACTTTTAACAGTACAATTTTTATAAAAGGAAACTAATTCCCTCAGTGCAGAGACTCCTGCCTCAGGCATCGATTGGTCGCTGCAGGGAGTTTCTCTCTTGAACATTCTGCGTCACATTGTTATGACGTCCCACCAGTGATAGTTGACGCTCTCCGGGCAGTGCTTTATAAGTGCCCGCATGAACTTGGCATGTACTGGAAGACGACTCCGTGATGGACCTTGTTGCGAGTGCATCAGTCACGAGGTTTTTCTNCAACAGCAAAACATGCCCTCTGGTGATACTTACTGTATGGACTACCACAAAAATTACAAAAAGTAATTGTTGTGATCATTAAAATGTCCCAAGACTTATATATGTCTAAACTCTTAACATTCATGCATAGTTTGTTGATTCTTTATAAAGTATAAGATGAGAAAACTGTATTACCCAAGTATCACAGTAAATATGGTCACATATAGAAGGTATCATTTGACTGAAAGTAAAGGCTCGTTAAAAATAATTCAACCGACAATGAAAAAGGTGGAGTAATAATACACAGTTTTCCATTAGTAGCTTCCCCAAGTAGTTGTAGCAAAGAAAGCACCTGTGTCTATGTAACAGTGCAAACGCACATGGTCTCGAAAACCGAAAACCGAAACTCATAAACATGTCAACAAGTTTCAACAAACGAATTCATGATTAGGTCAACAGGTTGAAAGAACCATAGGTCAAAAAAAAAAAAAAAAAAAAAGCAAAAACAAAAACACCAACAAGTCTTAGATGGTTAAAAGATTAAACCAAGTTAAAAAAAGATTCACAAAAAATTGTGAAGTCAGAATAATTTCAACTGTTATGTAAATCAATACAATTACAGATTTACTGTTCACCCAGTAAAATGTCGCAGAAATATAGGATTTAAAAATGATTGATCTCAGCTACTTATCAAAAAAATGATACATTGAAAAAGACTCCCATCACTTTGGTTGAGAAGAATTTGTCATTTGGAAAGGAACTCCATCAGCTATCTATAGAACAACTCATTACAGTTTTATAAGTCACCAGTATTAACTAGACAGTAAAAAAGGAAAAAAACTTATTTTAGACACTGATCAAGGAAACAATACACAAAAAAGGACTCTATTAATTTGGATGACCTTTCAGTAAAAGGATCCATATCCTGACAACTTAAATTCTCCATGTCACTCAAAGTAGTCTCTTTGTTATGCTCTTTCTTTTTAACTGAATTTAGAAACAATTATCTGCTTTTCTACCCATTCGGTACGTTCCGTATGCTATGGAGATTGTTGAGAAAGCATTGCCGCCACATTAAAAAGCACATGTAGGGGGGTCTATGTTTACGGCCACAGTCCCCATTCAGAACAGTGGACTAACTAGTCCTAGGGTCAAATATGGCCGACCCACTTGAATACTTCCCCACGGGGAATCTATTCAGTCTCTATTAGTGGATTAGATGGCAAGCTTTTTAGTGGGTCGTCATATTTTTTAGTGGGTCGTCATATTTGACCCGACCAAGTTGATAGTGCAATGAAACGCAAAGCTTGTGGCAAGTAATTCTACATTTGGGTAGTTAATTCGCGGCTGGACTTGTTTATTTCTGGATTTGTGCTCCCAAATCCACGGCTGGTGTTAGAAAATAGCAATTAGCGTTTAGGAGGGTTGTTTCTGATCAGCCCCTCCTCTCCAACACAGTACAGTAGAACTCATTAAAAACTTTCAAACCTCTGGTACTCAAACGTGAAAATAAACCTTTTCTATCATTAATTTATGCATTTGTGCTCCAAAATCTACAGCTTGTGTTAGAAAATGGCAATTATCTTCTATGGGGGTTGACACAGTACGATAGAACTCATTAAAAACTTTCAAAGCTCAGGTACTCAGAAGTGAAAATAAGCCTAATTTTCTAGCGTATATCCTTGCTAAGTAGATGCGGGTGCTAACAAATGGGGATTTTTGCATTTAATGAAATAATATTCCATAGTCCTCTCTTACCTATGGTTGTGAACCAAACCGGATAAGACATTGAACGAGTACCAAGAAACCCTCTTGGTACACCTGTCACAATTCCCCCCCCCCCCCCCCAGCAACCATGCATACATCAGTTCCAAGAGACATCTCATTTAAGACATGCCACATAACAGGACTTTTTTGTCACTTGAGCTACAGTAAGGATGATTACATAATTAAACAAGACTAGAGTACCCTCTACCAGGGCCATTGATTGATTTTTCTCTAGATATTCACAGATAATGTCTCTGGCTAAATAGATGGCTAATCTCTGCACTGTGACCCTGTAATGAAATCTCAAGGATGATTACAAGGCTTGTAACTGTTTGTATAACTACTCAGGCACTGTCACTTAACAAGTCCCTGCCAAGTCCCCCTGACAACAACCAAGACACCTAATTGCTCTTCTGTGACAACAAAAATTTTTAAATAGCGTGTCACTTCAGGGTGTGCCTTCAAACCATACGTCTTGTTTCAGAAGACAGAGAAGACAAGACAGGTTGCATAACAAGCATTAATCATGTCGGCGCGAAGCCCAGCTCCCGCTGAGCTAGGAGTAAGTAATCCGTGGTTATTATCAACATCAGTGTTCTAAACCCCAACAACTGTGCAAAAATTCCAAGAAACATGTGTTCTTTGAAAATGTCATTTGAGGGTATTGTAACCCTTTATTATCATCCAGATACTGAAAAATTATGTTTTTCCTGCATTTAATTATTCAGTAATGCATCAATCTTTAAAACAAAACAAACCACAAAAAAATCCCTGGAAAATATTGGAATTTATATTTCTTTATATTTCATGCTTGAAGTTTAGATACTGTTAAACATTCAAAGATGCAGCTTTATAAAATGACAAATTCCTTTCAACTGTGAAGAGTTCAGGATGCTAGTTTACCAGTAATCACACAGAGAAAAGTGGAAAACTTAATAATGCTATTTTGGATGGCATATTTTCTAGGCAGGCATTATCTTATAACATTCTCATTGAAAGAACTTAACTTAAAAAAAGAAGCTTAAAAGCAAAGGAAAAGCCTTAAAAGAAAAGCTTTATAAAATGAATCAAAGCAAAGCTCCACTCTTCATCCGAAGCTAAATATAAAGAAGGAGGACAAAATGTGGATATTGGAGATTGAAAACTTCAAGCAGGTATGACACGGTGTATCTTTGGTAAGCTCATCAGTCCTTTCTTTAATGGCTGCTTTCAGCAAGTGCATTGTTCAGTCAAGAATAAATATACTGAACACCAGTTCAAAAAGAATCAAAGTTCATCGGTTAGTCTTAAAAATACATTTCAGTCTACTTCAATCAAAGATAGATATGTAGCAGTCCCCTTAAGTAATTATTAAGATATTATCAGTCCAAAACATTGACCCTATATTGCTTACTTTTTTTTGTGAAAAAAAGGGCCAAAAAAGCTACTGATTCATCTTTGTTCAAAGGACTAAAGTGCCCAGCCCTTAATTTAGACCAACTATGGACTCTGACTTTTTATGTGAAACTGACCCTGGACCAGAAAGTACATGTTCACAAGAGGATTGTCTTGGACAGGAAACGGACAAATCAACATTCAGAAACAACAATGTCTTAAGTTTCACAGACCCACCATATTGCTAAAATTTCAATCCAGGCCTGACAATATTGATAATTTGGTTTAAGATTTCGCATTTCTAACTTCTTAAGAGTTAAATACGGAGGTAAAGCCATCAATGAAGTTCCACGTGGTCTGATGGCAAGCACAGAGTTCCAGAATAATTGCGATAACTGCTGTTTTGGTGGAAAAATAAAATTTAGTATATCTCTACGAGTTGCTTACAATGTATTTATAGTGAAATATGAATCTAACACGGATAGTTGTACTAATAAATTTAAAATGGTGATCTGGAAAACTGCCAAACAAAAAGACAAAGACAGCTTTTTTAACTGTCTGCTTTCTTTTTCAGCTGCTGTCTCATATGTGCTCTGTTGTTGTCAATAAGTCAATTTTTGGTCTAAGTTAGTCCTGCTGTGAACAAAACCATGGGGGAGCAGTAATAGAAGGAACTGTGAACTAGTTTCTAGTAGTAAATGGCCTACATTACAAGACATACCTTGGGGCCATGGAATACCAAGATTAGTATACCCATGGAGCAAACAGGGTATATAGCCAGGAGCTGAAAGAAATAATCATTTATGTAGTCATGCTATCCATCTAACTTAAACATACCCTAATTAGGAATGTCATAAAACATAAAAGCCAGGATGAAAAATAAAGCATCTTATAAAAAAGGCTTGTAGTCACTGGGGTTCTTTTACTGAAAAAAAAATGGACCTTTTAACCCCTTAGTTAACCAGAATTGAAATAGGACATAGAAACTAGACTGAATTTAAATTCAGAGCTGATCTTTTCCAGCCAGGAGGGCAGTTCTTTTGAACAGGCCTGAAATGACGGATACTATAGTAAAGTAAGAATACTAATAACAAATGGCAATCTCTGACATTAGGTACCGTAAAATGGCAATATCTAACAGTAGGTACCCTAAAATGGCAATCTCTGACAGTAGATACCGTAAGATGGCAATCTCTGACAGTAGGTACCCTAAAATGGCAATCTCTGACAGTAGGTACCCTAAAATGACAATCTCTGACAGTAGGTACCCTTAAATGGAAATCTCTGACAGTAGGTACCCTAAGATGGCAATCTTTGACAGTAGGTACCCTAAGATGGCAATCTTTGACAGTAGGTACCCTAAGATGGCAATCTCTCACAGAAGGTACCCTAAGATGACATTCTTTGACAGTAGGTACCCTAAAATGGCAATGTATCTTTCATTGAGAGCACGAGGTGGTTAGTACCACAAGCAGACAGCAAGGTACCTCACTTAAACTGGAGGTCCAGTCAATAGGTACCATTAACAAGTGTCAGGTACTTTAAAACAAAGTGTAAGTAGGAGGTACCTTTCACTGAGAGCACAAATAGTGGCTTCCTTAGCTAGATGTAATGTACCTTGAATAGGCAGCACTTAACTTTCAAAGAAGACTGGTATATTAAATAGAGAGAAAGTGCCTTTTGTTAGGAGCAAAAATAATGGTGTCCTCACTTAGGTGTGCAATGAAAAGACAAAAGGTCACTTTAATATAAAACCAATACAAAATAGGAAGTTTTTAAGGGAGGTAAGTACTGATATAAAATAGAAAGCTGTCTGCTTTTTTTTTTTCATAGAGATAATGACTGATATAAAATAGGAAGCTGTCTGCTTTTTTTTTGAAGAGGCAACAAGCACTTCTCACAAAAAGATGATACGAGAGGGTACCTCAAGGTGAAGCAACAATCTTCACTCACAGACATTACTCATCACTATATACATATTAATATTGAATGGCCACGTATATTTAGGAACCCCACTGTACATAATCTGAGTTATAACCGACTACAGACATGACCTGTTTAAAACACTCACCATACAGAGACTGGTGGTGGTGGGGGTCCGTGGACGCCTGAACAGCACGGGGGTGATGCACAATTGGTGGAGTAGCATTATTCTCTTGTACCATGATGTTTTTACCAACTTGTAACATCTCAGGCTCTGTTGCAATCTGAACTGTCGAAGAAATCTTGTTCGGTAAGGTTGGTTTGGGCATCACAGCACTGCAGTAGCGTTGCAAGTTCTCGTGCTTCATCAGCTTCCGCTGGCGATTTTTGGTATTGTCACCCGAAGAGGGGCCAGAGTGCCCTCTTTTTCTCCGCTGCTCTGGGGCATGGGCTTCGACCCCGCTGCGCCCCAGGAGGATAAAACTGTCTCTATCCTTGTGTAGCTGCTGCATCACCATTTTCTCCTGAATTTTATTGAAAATGTTCAAGTTCTCACAGGTCAGGTCACACGTGGCGACTTGAGAGTTGACTTTTGCCACGGATGCAGCTTCGAGTGCTGCTGCTGTTGCTGCAGCCGCCGCAGCCACGGCGGCTCCAGTGGGATTGGGCTGTTCTTCCTCCATGGTGATCAGTATGTTCCCTTCAAGGGACCTGTGACCAGGCACCACAGTCACAGCAACAATGGACGATGGCCTCGTCTCCGTGCCGGAATCGATGGCAGCTGTGACAGTCGAGGGAGGTTTGTGATGCTCCGGAAAGTCTGTTTCCACATTTTCTTTGATAATTTCGTATGAAGCATTCTTGTCTTCATTGAGGTCTATATCCAGTTTGACTGGGCCAGGACTGTAAGGAAGGAGGTCCTCAGGTTGCTCCTGCTCACATACCACCACCTGAAGAATATGGCCATGACTTCAAGATACCCATGGGCAGCAAGATGAAACAAATTACGTACAGTAAAGAATTTGTATAGGTCTATATATATTTATAAGCCCACTGCACCAAATTTTAGTCGAATTTATGTGAAATCAGTAGGAAAAGAACTGAATGAAATATTGCACCTCTTTTATTAGCAGAAAGACCTTGCGAAATTATGTATTTCAGACTCATGCAATTTTTTCTAGGTGGATTACCTTGGATTTGTCAAATAAACTGAAATAGACTCTGATCAAGTTTCTGGTATAAAAGTACAATTAACGATTTAAATCGCACAGAACTAAGAAAGATTTTTGTCCTACTAACCTTGGTACTGCTGCCAAAACTTGGTGGCTTGGGGACCATCTCCACAGGTATGTTTTCTTCCAAATATAACTCATCTTCACCTAAAACACAACACAATACTGAAGAGCACATCCAGCTAAGTGATCATCTGGCATACACTGATATATCTGGTAAATTTTCAAATATTCTACAAACCAGAAGTTTTCACTCTCGCTCGCTGCTTTTCATATGGGTAGTGATTTTACTGCAGCTTCCACACCAACTTTCAACTGTTGCACAACACCAAGTGCAGTTAGCCCCCAACAACAATTTTAAAATGTGCTTTATCAAAAAACCCCCAAAAAAAAACCTGTAAGTAAGCTATATCACATACTTAGAGTATCCTGTTGATCATCATCAGTTGGAGATCGACTTTTTTGTTCTGAAGATTTACCAGAGGAGTGGGTCTTTGGACAGCTCATTAAAAACCTATAGACAAGTATATAAATGGCGGAGATGTACTTCCTGCGTCAATCTTCCAGAGGCGGGCAACAACTGAAACTTAAAAACTCAGAAACGAGCTCATTGATCAGGTTGGGGTTGGCTGAACCTTCCAACTGAGCTATCATGCACAGAATTTATTCTTGTTTTAATGCAAATTTCTGTCTTTATGAAAGCATGATAACACCACAAGAATATTTGAGATATTTTAAAATGCAGACAACATTTAGCGGCCATTTAGAGGGGGGTTCAAACACCACCCCTATACCCCCCTAATCAATAAATTCTTGCATCAATTCCTGGCTTACACAATACTCCAGGAGTGAGCACATTCAACACAATATTCATACTAACCTCCGTGTACGCTGACTAGCATACATACCACAATCAAGGCGGGACCCACCTTTTAATATTCTGCGTATAGTTGAACTGCTCATATGTAATACCACCTTCAGAGCTGCCAGACTTAGAACACGATGAAGACTGTGTCTTCTGTTTATTCTGAAATAGCCATAATACAGGCTCTCCAAACTGTGATAAAAGAAATACTTGTTAGGCATAAATCACGGCTGATGAAGCCACATTCCTTCAAAATGATCAATAGGTACTAGAATGCTCATTGAGGAAAAAAAATTTTTTTTTTTCATTTTATGTTCTTTCATCAATGGGTTGGAAATACTGATGAATAAGTACTTTGTTAAATTTGCAAACCAGAAATATTCTTTTTTTTTTTTCTATTTCGGGTAACAGAATTTAACATTTAATTTGCTCATGGAATAGAATGAAAAGTTTAAGACCTTTTATACAATTCTAGGAAAGCTTATAAATTATTGCTTGCTCTTTCTTCAAAAATGATTTTCGATAAAATATGTTCCTTTCAGGAAAGAAACAAGCAATAGGTGGCGCCATCATCCATTTAGGTGCAAAAGTCTCATGCAAAGAACAACATGGGTGGCCAGCTAGTGCACAAACATAATAATTACAAAAAAAATCCCAAAAGTAAAACATAACTCGTAATTTTTCTACTGAAGCCAAATGGAAAGGCACCCGTACATAATGTTAACTGACTCACCACAGCCCATAGCCACTTACGATAAAAATTGAACAGCAAATAGCACACGATTTCACCATACGGCGGCCATGGCAAATGTAATGTTAGACTTAAACTGTTGCTTAGAGAACGTATCAATATAACTTATTAATATATAATAATAAAGAACATCAGTGTTACATGCAGATCCAGTACCTTGCTAAATATATGGTCTTGCTCTTTTCCAGAAGGGGCTGGGACAGGAGGGCCCGGCTCTGCTCCTGGAACAAAACAAACATTTTTCTTACAAACTGGCCAAACAGCATTTTAAGCATCAGTCACAACCGGACGCACGAATCTCAGGATCATACGTCCGCTGCGATTTTTGGGTGTTGCGGAGGCTGTGGAGGTCGTAGAGGTAGAGGAAAGTACGTGCTTACAGGTGGTCTGCGAACTCAAAATTTCGTAAGAAGGACTTGCATGGGAAGTGAGATTCTGCGCAAAATTTTGAGGCAAACAGCCCGTAAGAGCCCGTACGGCCGGTTGTGACCGAGGCTTTAACTAAAAGCATAGCTTTACAATCATGCTTTGAAAAAAAGGGGGTTTTCAAGGTCCATAGTAAGATGATAAAATTCTTGACCAGGAGACTAAATACCAAGAGTCGCACGTTATATAACATCCAGCTTTTAGTTGAGTACAAGGTCCATAGATGGTTGATTGAAAGGTAATTATTTTTTGTCATACTAAGCAGTTTTGTTGGACCAAAATAAACAAAGCATGCATTATAATCAACTGAATACAATGTGCAGGAGCAACTGTTAGATTAATGCAAGATGAGCCTACCTGCTGGAGGAGTCTCAGCGACATCTGTTGGCTGCTCCTGTTGGTCAACCAAGGCACATTCAGGCTGAAAAAATAAATAAAAAGAATAAAAATATACAAAAAATAAATAAATAAATAAATAAATTAATTAATTAATTAAAAGGTCGCAAATTAGGAGGCGCTACTTATATTTAAAGTTTAATACTTGCAGAACCTAATGGTCACCAAACCAAATACTTTCTTTCCTTTCATTGTCTTGAATTCAACTGCCACCTATGTATTTGTTGTCTTACATTTGCCAGCAGATTCCTAATTTCCATCTGCTTGGACTGTGCTCTCCGCCATTCTTCCTGCTTGGTTCGGATCCACCACTGATTTTCAGGCTCATGAAAGACGTTTGGGTCCTTTGGAGCACTGCAATCAGAAAAAACAAATATATTAAACATATTTCTCTTTCTGCAGCCATCTTTCTAAAGCAGTGACTAACAGTTAACATTCCTATAAAATTCTTAAGCATATTTAAGGAATGACATTCTTCTAACCTCCCCTCCCCCACCCCATTTATTTGCCAAACTGAGGATTACACACAAACATTTAAAAATCCCAACCTTATAACAGTATGTCTCCCAAGGACAAACTCCAGTTTCTTGGTCCAAGGATTGATGAAGCTAGACCATTCCGTTTCAACCAAAATTTCAGATTTGTTTTTTGGCAGCATTCTGATTGGTTGACTTTTGTAGGGAACTCCATTGGTCTTGATTGCTGAAAACAGAAACACACTCACCAAAGGGAATATGTTCATACAACGGTCGCCATGATTGCAAGTGTAAGGTAAGGCTCTCTCTCTCTCTCTCTCTCTCTTTCTCTGTCTCTTGCTGTTTATTTCACTCTCGCACTCTCACATACACAAAGGGGCTCTACCTCTTTTTCAAATGTTTTTGTGTCAAAAAAAAAAAAAAAAAAAACTGTGAAAGGTCTCCCTACCCTCTTTGTGCGCCTCCAGCAGCACTGGAATGTCCTCAGGGTGGTAAAGGTCGAAGATGGAGGACCCAATGAGGTCCTGAGGCAGATAGCCCATTAGAGGTATGACCCTGAAAAGAGGACTCCCTATGCTTTTTCTTAACGTAATGAAAATGTTAGTAAACATCAAATGATAACGACAGTAAACAACAAAACAGAATGTCATTATACAGAGTTGTATGGTAATTTTCTCCTTTTTTCATAATATAGAAGAAGTCCAAGGAATTTCACAGAATTCGACAATTATCAAATCCACTACGGTCACAATAAGTCTGTATTTGCCCATTTACAATAAGGAAGAATGACAGAAAATTTATCAACTCACCTTCAAATTCCATTCAATGATTCATATTTTGGAGAAAAAAAAGGTCGACTTACCCAAATTCCACTTGGCAAAATGCACAGTTTGTGTTGTGTTGTGTGGAGAATACATTAGTTTCTGGAACTTTCCCTTCTGGCAGATCTGAAAGTAAAGCGAGGAAAGGTCTCATAAACAGGCAGGATGTCTCTTTTTTCTTTAACCATGGCATCACTGCAAACTCTTCCTCATACGTGCATGCATGAATATACAGCACACACATTAATGAAGACAATCAATGTTATTTTTTTAATTTTTACATAAAATATTTTCTCTGAAAATCCCTTAATAAAGAACCACATTTTGTAACACCTTCATACACAAACTCATGACAATAAAGATGCCAAAACAACCATCAAACTAAAACTCATCAATGAAAAAAAAAAAACAAGGCCATTTTCTGCACACCTTCATAGGCCGACTTCAGTGGCTCCAACCCCATGAAAAGATACCAGCAACAATCTTCCGTCTTGATGCTGCTGCTAGGAATACCACTGTCTAGGGACTCCATGTCTTTTACCGCCACGGACATAATCTGACAGTGAGCGGAGAAGACAGCATAGTCAATGTCCCGACTCAGACTAAATCCCTGACTGAGGCTTTTGTATTTCCTGCAAAAAAAAAAAGTAATAAAATGATGGAAAATGTTACTTAGATTAAAAACATGGTGCAGTGGCAGTAAACAGTTCAATGTCAAAATTTCACTCCAGTAAGACTTTAACTGGTCCTTGGCATAGGCTTTAGTATGCCCTTCAAATCAAACAAATAAATAAATAAATAAATAAATAAAAAGAAAGAGAAATTTTACAGAATCCATAATTAAAACATGGTTTATCAAAAGTGCAGATAAAGAGGGCAAAGATGCCATATCTTTTGCTAAGCTGTTTTACGAGACTTGAAAGATTTGCCAAAAATTCCATATCATGCAGCTAAAAAGTTGATCAGAAAATGAAAATAAAAAGTGTTTTGCTGCCAGCATGATTGAGTTCCTTCCACAAAAGTAGCACAAGAAGTAGATTTTCAATTTCAAATATCCGCACTACATGCTGCAGGTATGCAATGCCATATAAGGGAGAAAATGGTGGTACCTTGGACACATTGACCAATCACAGAGCGCAATTCAAGCTGTGGCCTACTTCGCAGAGGGTCATGGGTCGTGCAGTTATATAATTTTTACGATTAGCCAAAAGTATTACATGAGGATGACATTGGGGATGAATGGATAGCTTCCTGTACAGAATGGCCATGTACTGCTTTAGTTATGTAGTTCATACTGACAAAGACATTATGGCAGAGACAAAATGTACATCCGAGTGTTCTGTTCACTCCAAGAGTGAAAAGCAAAAAAAAAGAATTCGCTGGCAGGCACCGAGGGCAACCTCACAAATAATGACCACTGCATGCTCTAAGAAGAAAGAAAAGTTAACAAAAGCGTGTGAGTGGACCCCGCCAGCAGTGTCACCTGTAATGTCAGCTCCCTGAAGATGTCTTTGTGATAAAGGACAAAACGTCAGAGTGGTTGCATACTATCTAGCAGATGTACGTGAGTGTCTCCAGTATGAGATTTAATATTTGTTTGCCTTTTGGACCCACAACAATTCCATAGACATATGAGCACAAAGCTAAATGGGACAAAAAAGACATTAAAGTTGGGTTTTTGACAGATATAACATATACACTATGTGCAAATCTTTATTGCTTAAAATAAATTACTTTCAATACCATTCAAATATCATATAAACATTGTTGAGACACTATCTTTGGTTAATATTCCACTTTAATTCATATACAGTTATGGGTTTAATCTAACACTAGAAAAAATGACATTTTCATAATTTCTTATTTTGCTTTCCCCCGTTGTGCCATAAACTGCCAACACAGCAACGGGTGAGGAAAAATACTACACGTGCATCGATTAGGAAAAAAACGTGAGCCACGTGAGCCATGTGAAAACTATTAAAAGTAGAACACCTTCTCTTAGAATTTCATAAAATTATTCAAAGAGTTAATCAACACTTCCTAACATGCTTCCGCGGACCCATTTTGAATATTTTAGACAAAATCCTGGCAGCTTGATAGGGGCAAGGTTAAACAGTCCAAACAAAATGAGCAAATCTGAACCCTAGCATTCAAAAATTTACCTGGACAGACAATTTCACATGAGACTTCTGACAATTTCAATGTCTATAAAAATTTTTGTTTAACTACTACATCGGAACAATAAATTTTATTTCAAGATAATCATTCTCAAAAAAAAAAGACAATCAAATGTCCTTATCTTCCTCCATATCGAGCCATTAAGAGCTTCATTCTTTGACCGTAAAAAGTGACATGGCTTTCAAAATTAGCTGGCAATGAAACTTAAAATTAAAAATAAAATTAATCTTAGACCTTTGCAAAGCTGACTCCTTTTCTTGGAAACTGGCAGTTTTCTCTCAACCACCTCACACATTTATACTGACAATTAATGCATAACATGTTATTTTGCAACCAATTAACCGTGCAAAACATTTTCTGGCCATATGAAAATAAACCCCTTAGCTCACCTTATTCTGAGGCAGAAACTCTCATGTTCTTTTCCACTCCAGTCTTGGCTAGTCCCTGTAACATGTAATAGGTAAAATTGCAATTTTGACGATTAGTGTTACTACACAAATTGCTTCTTGCTTGTATATGAACAGAGAAAGATTATCTATACTTTTGTCAGCATTTTCTGGTTCAGAATTGTATTGTTTTCATTCTTTCCCCTGATGTGAAGAGGCAATATGTGTGTGTGTGTGTGTGTGTGTGTATGTGTGTATGTGCGTGCATGCGTGCTGAATAAATGCATCCATAATAGAGCACTGCCTTACACTAAGAAGTTTCAAAGAAAATATATTTTTTTATCTGAAGTTTTGGTTGAAGGTTTAAAATATACAGGTATGTTATAATAAAAAGGTTTCAGCTGAAACAGATCAACAATCACAATGAAAGCAACCTTGGAACTGAAATAGGCAAGATCAAGGCCAGAAAATTTAATAGAAAAAAAAATCCCAAACAACAAACCTACCTATCATGTCTGCTCAAAATATGAAGAATATAAGGTAAATTAACAAGGCTAAAGTTCATTTTCACAAAATTTCCTTATTCAAAACATTTCACAAGATTGCATTATGAACTGACATGTCCGAGGAATTTTTTTCTTAAATTGAAAATTAAATTCTTTAAGGCAAAAAGTACTCCATACCTTGCTCAAACTGTGCTTCACTCCTGTATTCACCGAGTTTATTGCTGAATGTGCTCCAGTCTTTACGGTGGACAAAATCTTCAATCTGCCGTGAATTTAGTAAGTCCTGAAAAATAAATAATAAAAGCAAGTCTCATCTTGTTAAAAAATTAATTTGTTAACAATTTTATTTATTAGTATGGGCAGCCAAGGCAAATCTCACCAGTTTCAGACCCAATACCAAGCCTTGGAGAAATTGTGCAGAAATTTCTAAGAAATCTGTGGATATCCTCAAACATACATGTCCATTATTTATCAACATTGCTCCCTCAAAATTTCTGAAACCTTTTTTTTTTCTAGAATTGTTATTCACATAAATTATCTGTATATGTATAAAGTTAAAATACCAATATATACCCTAAATTATAAATGTCTCAGTAAAATCTTGAAATGTCAGTGCCTGTATGTAGTATCTGGCTTTCAGCGGGCTTCTTTGGCCTGCAAAGCTTTTTGTTTTAAGAGTACTTTCCAGTTGCCATTTTAAGACATGTCTCATTGTTAATTGTATTTTCATAAACTGGGGTAGCGCTAGCAAATTTTTTGCTTGGCCATATCACCCCTTTTTTGTCAATTTGTTATCAAAATGGTTATAAAATTGGCTAAAACATGTCAAATAAAGCCCTTTTTCTTTAGCCAAATTAAGTCAGTTTTAGCATTTGGCTATATTGGTGAGTGCTAGCGCTACCCCAGATAAACATTACTGAAATGATCCGTTTAAATTAGCTTTAAGGGTAATACTAACCCCAGGAAAACCAAGTAATGACTTCAGTTTAGGACTGGTCTCAATAATGACAGATTCCTTCAAAGTTAGANAGGGCAAGACAGAACTTGTTAAAAAAAGGTGAGTTATTTTGACGAGTTGGTTTTTAAAATATTAGTTTTTTTTTTCTCATCTAATTAAAAAATGGCAAACTTCAAATGTTTTAACTGCATATGATCATCACATATAAAGATCATACATTGTAGGTGAAAAAATGAAAAAAATATTTGTTTCTAATTTGTACCTTTCAGCTCAACAAGGAAACAGGTAGCTGAATGAAATGGCAGAATGTTGTCTTCAAAGAGGTCTTCATATAGTTTTCACCTGAGTGAAACTTGGAGAAAAATCACTGCAAATCATTTGCATTATCTACAGAATTCCCTCTTTTATAAAAAATTTCCATTTTTTAAAATCACCTGCAACATTTCATCATTTCTAAATATTCAGATGTTCACATTTAGGTTTTTCTTGTGAGAATAATACTGCGAAAGAATCTTATCTAGAAATTGAAAGGAAAGTGCTTTCAGAGCATCGTAAGGTTTTTATAATTAGAGAAACTCATCTCACAACACACGAGGAACCTGCCAGAGAGAATACTTGATGCACACCCGTCCTTGTTCCACAACTTTTCCTGGTCATCATGGAATGTGCCAGTGATTTTTTTTCATTGAAAAGAATTGTTTTACTATCACAAAAATTATTAAAAGAACAGATTTTATAAGTCATTTTAAACAGTGACAGAGCCGTAATTTTTTATTTGTCAAATAACTGTTTTATACAATAAATGCTTTGCAAATAATGGACTTATGGTAGTTGAATTAAATTTTTTGCAAATGAGGCAATTTAAAAGATATTTTCAATGATGAAACCATCTTACATCTTTTACATTTAAAAGTTACGCTAAGCCCCTGTCATGATGGTATATTTACAAAATGCCACCAGTAAAAAATAAAATGTTTGAAGATCAGATGAGAGATGTTTATTTTCATTCATCTGCCAGAAGATGCAACATTGCTGTTTTTGATACCAGTTCAGTGATTTGGGTCACCTCTCAGAAGCTGATAAGGTATATTTGTGTCATACATATGTAATATGGTAATTCAAAGAAAACTGTCATATTTCCCATCCAGCTGATGGATACATTGGCATCTTTTGGTCCAAAATTCAGAAGTAGTTTACAGTCTTTTCAGTCCTTCCTAGGAGTGAGAGTTTTCCAGTTTTTGCAATCTTGTTTCTCTTCTAAATTTAACTGCTAATGGAAAAGATCTGGAGATTATATACCGACTGGTCTATGAACTACCAACATTAACTCACTAATCTTGTCCATTTTTCACTAATAAGCCACAGCCTCTCAGCTGCCTTGGTGTCCTTCCCTACAGGATTAATTTTTTCTTCCTTGCAATTCCTGGAAAATCAAAGATGGTAAAAATTCAATCTTAGTATGTTTATCTAGAAAGAATTATGCTCTGCTAAATACTTTGTCACTGCAATTCTTTCTCCAATCGATGGCTTAAATCAGTTTTTTTCCACAACATTTCAGAATTATGTTACGCTCTGCCTGATCTCTCTATGGGGTTCATGCAGACAGTACAGGGAGGAATGGGATGACATTCCTGGACAGACACCGACAAACTGAAGTGTGAATGATCTAATTTTAGTTGTTGTATGAAGAAACTACTTAAGTAACTTTGTACGTTTATAAAAAAGTTACCACCATGAAATTTGAGCACAGATTTGTGCACATACCCAAGAAAAGCCTATACACTCACAAAGCATCTCACTGACTCAAACTGGAGCTTATAAAAATATGTCAGTAGTATTCTTATGGTTAATAATAGAAGCATTTTGTGCAACGATTAAGATTTGCTTAAGATATACATAAAAAATGTCCTTACGAAAAATATTTCCCAGAAACTTCCTCCAACTCTGGAGCCACAGCTGCATAGACCACTGTCTGTGATCCTTGTTGTGGGTTGCTGGCAAAGATGGTCAGCAAAAATCCCAAGATATTTCCCAAAAATATGGAATGGTATGTTTTTGAATGTCTGTGGATTTTTGTATTACAGATTCCTGGGTTGACAGCATTTACTGTGACTCCTGTATCTGAAATTCAAGATATTATTAATATTAATATCCATGTTTCTGATGATAGAAATAACTTTTGAGTACAACAGTTTGACAAAAACTAGAAAATCTACTTGATATTATTCTACTTGTATGAAACTGAAAAGATACAACTTTGGGTATGACAAATATCCCCAAACTCTATCAGAAATGAGAGAGAAAGAGAGAAAGTTTTCACAAAAGTTAATTTTCTCTCTCCGTTGCAAAAAGTACCTTTTAATCTTCTATCCAGCTCATTAACAAACAACATATTAGCCAGCTTGCTCTGTCTGTAGGCATGTCGTTCATCATAAAACTTCTTGCAGTTCAAATCTTTAAAATCTATTTGTCCATCCTTATACACAGAGTCATTGACACATATTATTCTGCTTGGCTTGGATTGCTTCATTTTGTCTAGTAATAAATTGGTCAACAAGAAAGGACCTGGAAATAATATTTTTTTCATTGCATAAATGAAAATAAGTGAAATAAACACATAACAAACCAGCAATTAGTTCTGATTCATATGGTAATAAATGTGTTTATCAAATAACATCTGCATTATTTAGTAAAAATATGAAGAAATGAACACTACATTTTACACTGCATAACATTTTCATTTCTTGCTTTTTAAAATATATTTACTTGTCATCATTCATTGGAAATCAAAGAGGGAAAATGACTTATTTCAAATCAAAATAATAAATTTTAAAATGGAAAATAGAAAGCAATTCCTTCACCAAAATGGTTGACTCCTAAATGCATCTCAAATCCTTCTCTGGTGACTGACTGTGGGCAGTACATTACTCCTGCATTGTTGATCAAGACATCAACTCTTTTCTGGGCTACAAACAGAACAAAGAACTTAAATCACAATCTTTTGCCAAAGATAATTACAATTATGTAACACAGTGATAAGATAAAACTAGAAGTTCAGATCCCCAATGGATACCTGAATGCTTAATAAATCACAGAGACATTTTTGGTCATTTTTTTTTTCTTTGACTAAAAAAAACAATGACAGAGAGCCCAACTAATACGTACTAATACATGGCCTACTGATAAAATGTTCAAAGTTAAATAACAAATAACTTCAGACAGAATAATCATATTCTTTACTTTCCTTCATCCTTTTGCCTTATCTTATAAAAGAGCATATAAAAACGTGTAAAGATACAAAAAATAAGATCTGGAATGGTATGGAAATGCAGAAGCAAAAGTATTTGTGTTCCCAATGGTCACTATCACTCACTCTTGTTAATATCTGCAGCAAAATTCCTGATTGAGGTCAGAGATGCCAAATCCAGCTTTTTCACAAAAACCAGAGAAGAATTGGTCTCTTCAATAATCTTGGTTTTTACCTCCTCTGCTGCTTTCAGGTCTCTACATGCAAGGATCACACGAGCACCTGGATAATGAGACAATGCAACTAAATGAATAAAAACATGATGCAGTTACTCCGAAAAAAGTTATTTAAATACCGTTTTAAAAAAATTATTTTTCTTTATTGACAAACATAACTTTATATTTATCCAGGTTTAACCAACTTTAACCTTGTTACATATCAGTCTACCCAGATAAATACATTTACATCTGTCAAAATACTGTTATTAATCACCACCATTTGCAAACTCTTCCTTTGACTAATCACTAAAATTCAAACAGATACTTCCACTATTAAACTCCAATTTGTTTATTAGTATAACCTCCAAGGCCAAATCTTTTTCAACCTGTACCTTATTCAAGTTTTGCAATAAAAAAGTTCAACAATCCATGCTAAGTCTGCTTGCCTCTTTTAGTAAGTTCCAATGCAGTTGCTTTCCCAATGCCACTGCTTGCACCGGTAATAATCACAGTTTTGCCTGGGATCTGAGTATCTTCTTCATATCTTGCCCCACCATAAATGTACCTTATGGTAATGACAAAATATAATCTAAATAACAGTAAATTTATAACATGTACATTTTTATACAAAAAACTAAGTGAAACATACAATACCTTAAATTTCATTTCTCAGTCATTTCCTTATTTAGGGGCCATCCATTGTAATCATTATTTTCACAAGTCTACAAACCATATGCTTTTAAAAAACGATAAAAATGATGATCCAAATTGGTCTCAAAGGTCATCATTTTTAGTTGCTTGCTTTGTACTCTCTGAAGGGGGGGGGGGGGGGGGGTTGGAAGCCTTTGCTTTGTAGACTCGTGAAAATGATGATAAAATTGATGACCCTTAATCTGATTTTGCTTTTTCATAATGCAAATCAAATGCTGTACAGATAAAGCAGAGAGAGAGTGAGAGAGAGAGAGAGAGAGAAGGAGAGGAGACTTACTTCAAAAGAACAAATCCTCCTACAGTTGTTCCAACATAGCTCATCCAGGTGACACCCCTTGAGAACTGAACCATAACTGCTGATAGACACACCTTGCAAGAGAAGAGCATGTGTCCTTTTAGTTTTAGTGTTTTCAGTCTTTTCAGTGTCTTTTCATACAGTTTACACCCCAAACTGAAAGGTTTACTATTTTCATTTGAGACTGTTCCACAGTCACATTTATATGCCTGCAAAGCTTCTTCCTTTTCCCCAATTTAGACTTAACAAAAAGACAAAAGCCCTTAAATAAAGGTACCTGATGTAAATATTTCTTCCTGAAATGCCAGGGGAATATAGTTTTCTGCACAAATCCTGAACTGTATAAATCTAAATTATCTTATCATAGATGCTACAAAATATCTAATCCGAGTGTGGTATCATAAACAAGGCAGCAAAGCTGTCAAATGTACAGACAAAAAACAGGAAATAACTATGCACAAAATAGGCTACTGTCAATTCTGATGCAAAAATACATTATGTTAAACTGCAAATTCAACATCAAATTTAAATTATCCTCAACAGGTAATATCAATGTAATTAAAATATGTGACAAGTTTACACTTTGAAAATGTATAACTTCCAGAAAAAGAAGTCACTTAGACTGCTTTTCCAACTCAGACTGCATTTTAGTCCTGTATTTCTTTTTTGAAAGTTTGGCAATCATAAATAACATGGTTTTCCCATAATGGTCATCATGGCAGCAGCACCCAAAATTGTGTTTTCTTCTATTCTGATGCAATATTACATATTGGTTAACAGCATAATGACCGTCAATTTTTAATAATAAAATATACGTATCATGGATTTTCAGAAAATGTGACTAGCATGGGTCTTCAAGCCCGTGGAACTTCAAAGTCACACCTTGAAAATGCCAATATGTGAAAAATTAATTTTTCACAAAAGAACTATTTAACTGGCAGTAAGAATTACCAAACAGACTGTATTTCCTACTGAAGCTGTATTTTAGTCCCATGTTTCTTTCCTGTAAGTTTGAGAACAGTAAATGACATGGTTTTTCTTAAATGGTCATCATGGGAGCAGTGCCCAAAATAGTTTTTTTTTTTAAATTTTGATGCAATATTACATAATGTTTAACAGCATAATGACCATCAACTTTAATAATAAAATATTAGTATTATGGATATTCAGAAAATGTGACTAGCAAAGGTCTTCAGGCCCATGGAACTTCAAAGTCACAACTTGAAAATGCCAAAATGTAAACGAGACAGCACTGTTCTGAAATGTTTTTTTTTTCCATTTTTAACAATTTTTAACATAAAACAAAATTAACAGTTTTCTGCCGTTTTTATATGATCAACTAAGAAAATTGATGAGATGGGAAAAATATCAACAGAGCAGTGTTAAATGTCCAATCTCTTCCATTCTGAGATTCTGAACATAGTGAATGATTGAATCTGACAAACTGCAATGATATGAGTTTATTTCCATTTTTGAAACTTTATTACACAATACACGATAACAAGTTTACCATCATTTTTACATAATCAACTAACAATGTTGTAAAGATGCAGGAAATGTCAAACAAACACTTTTACGTATCTTATTAGTTTAATAATGAGACTGTTAACATGCCTAAGAATTGAATCTGAGGAAATGTGAAAAAAATGCTGAAAAGTGAAAAAACAGCATAACTTCTACAATAATGGCCCGATCATGCTGATTTTCGAACTTGACCTGCGTTTTATGAATATTCATCAGCTCTGTAAATATAAAGCCAAAAAGTAAAACTGCCTTCCACTTATCGTGTTTACAAGGAAAGTGCACGGCGCCGGCATCGGCATCGGCATCGCCATCGCCATCGGCATCGGCGACGACAGACGCAGGTGATGGCAATATGTACAGACACATCTGTACATATTTACTGTACTGTTTGAGAACAGTAAGTGACATGGTTTTTCTTAAATGGTCATCATGGGAGCAGTGCCCAAAATAGGTTTTTTTCAAATTTTGATGCAATATTACATAATGTTTAACAGCATAATGACCATCAATTTTTAATAATAAAATATTAGTATCATGGATATTCAGAAAATGTGACTAGCAAAGGTCTTCAGGCCCATGGAACTTCAAAGTCACAACTTGAAAATGCCAAAATGTAAACAAGACAGCACTGTTCTGAAATGTTTTTTTTTTCCATTTTTAACAATTTTTAACATAAAACAAAATTAACAGTTTACTGCCATTTTTATATTATCAACTAAGAAAATTGATGAGATGGGAAAAATATCAATAAAGCAGTGTTAAATGTCCAATTTCTTCCATTCTGAGATTCTGAACATAGTGAATGATTGAATCTGACAAACTGCAATGATATGAGTTTATTTCCATTTTTGAAACTTTATTACACAATACACGATAACAAGTTTACCATCATTTTTACAAAATCAACTAACAATGTTGTAAAGATGCAGGAAATGTCAAACAAACACTTTTACGTATCTTATTAGTTTAATAATGAGACTGTTAACATGCCTAAGAATTGAATCTGAGGAAATGTGAAAAATATGCTGAAAAGTGAAAAAACAGCATAACTTCTACAATAATGGCCCGATCATGCTGATTTTTGAACTTGACCTGCGTTTTATGAATATTCACCAGCTCTGTAAATATAAAGCCAAAAAGTAAAACTGCCCTCCACTTATCGTGTTTACAAGGAAAGTGCACGGCATCGGCATCGGCATCGGCATCGGCGACGACAGACGCAGGTGATGGCAATATGTACAGACACATCTGTGTCTGTACATAAAAATCTATTTTCTATTTGCGGTATCTTGGGATCACGGTCTGTGCCCTGAATACCCCGCGGCGTAATTACTGGCAGCGCGAGCCAGTTACTTCCAAAGCTGTAATTAATTCTCGGCTGCGCTCGGAGTGATCATAAGATACCGCGAATAGAAAATAGATTTTTAGAAAATAGATTTTTCATGTGAACGGAGTCTTAATAAGTAATATCTCATTAATGTAAATTTAAGCAAAAGAGATAATGCTAATAAATTTTACAGTCAGCATATAATGTTCGAGTCAAACAGTAAGTTTTAGACTGATTACAGAAAATTTTTATTTTCCTGCCAATTGTCAACACCTGTCCCCTTCATTAACAACCTATGCCCAATCCAAAACCTGCTAACAAAGTCTTAATCCTTTTAAAACAAGTTTCTGAGTACTCAATTCCTCATTTTTGAGCTACTCTATAAATGGAGATGAAAATCAGCCAAATTTTTCTCATGACGTCAAAATGGTAAATTGATTGTTAGGGGCAGGGTTCATGGATCCAGATTTGCTCCACAGTTTTGGACAGGGTAAATAACTAATACCCTGGTAACGAAGAGAAACTTGCTAACATTTCTAGGAAAATCACCTCCTTGCTATACAAGGACCTAACAGACATGGTGCCATTTTTTAGTGCAAATATACTCCTATCAATACAGGCGTTCTTAACCTTCCAGAGAACTTACCTTCAAAGAGAGATATTTCTCTGTTATATTAGACAGCTGGCTGGGCACAGCAGGGTTCTTCTCTGAAATTTCGATTTTTATTCACATAATAATAATAATAATAATAATAATAATAATAATAATAATAATAATAATAATAATTGTTATTATTATAGATTCTTTATATGGACTGTTCCATGTATAAGTCAATACCTACTGCGTGATTATTCTGAAGCACTTGAGAATGTATGAACTGTGAAAGTGCATAAAAACTTGTACAAAGCACATGATGGACCCAGTGATCTATGACAAAAATAATACGAGATCATTGTTCCTGCAAGTTTCAGAACAATGCAGCTGCTTAGGACAAAAATTAATGCTCATTTCTACCCCTACATTTTCTTAATATCTGTACATTAATGAAAAAGTAGTGATTTGGCTAAGTGAAAAAAATTACTAGCACTACCCCAGCATTTTTTTCTTTTTCTCTTTTTGTATTTCAGGATTATAGAGTTCCCATGATACTAAACAAAGAGGCTCTTTCTTTGGCCAATCTGGTGCCTTCAATGTGTGAGCAGTGCAAACTTGTAACCAATGAAAACTGTTGTTACTCAGATCATTGGTCATCAAAGTGCTAACCTTCAGCCTGGCGAATACTTTCGACTGCGTGCATCAATGCCACCAAGGTGCCGACCTTCTCTTTTCGACCCTTGCGAGCTGGCGGCGCCAGCTGCTTGAGCGTGCGTATGCATTCTCGCACTTGTGCCCTCTTTGCTTCTCTATGCTGCAGCAGCTTGTCCATTGTTTCTAATCTGCAAGAAAAGACATCAAACTGTACCACCAAGATTCTTAGGGAGCATTCACATCAAGAAGAGCCGAGGTCTAGTAAGTAAAGATGGCGGACCTACACGAAATTCTGTTAGTCCTCCCCATGCGTCGTCCCTGCAGGGGTACAGTACTTAAATCTCGGCTCAATTCAACCGGTCAAGGAACAAGGCATGGGGAGGCGTGTGAGAGGAGGAGAGACCATTACAGGATTAGTGGTCTTCCTTTCATGTAGGTCCGCCATATTTAGGTCGCAACCTTACTAGCACTCGGCTCTTCTCGATCTGAATGGTCCCTTAGCAATCCCTTTCATGTCCACGTACCAGTTAACCACTTTCTACACTTAATTCTCATCAGTGTTTGGAGGTTTATACTGCCATCATGCCAAATGCCAGTAAAATTTTGTCAATTGGCTCAATTCCTATGGTTTTAATTAATTTATTATTATTATTTATTTTTTTTTTCAGCAGTTTTGGATCAATAGATCTTTGAGCTCCGGAATTCCAGACTAAAGTGTGGATTTACATTGTCTGTTAATTCAAAACCTTCAGTATTCAGTGATTTCCAAAGATTCACCTCGCCGATTATGAAAAACTGCCCAGGGTTTGAACAGTGAGAACTTGCAGCACAAATTAGTGTGAAGAGTATGCCACGTTTTTATTAAAAGTATTGTCTTGGTCTTTTTTTACTGGTCTTCAGTCTTAGTGTCCCCTACACTTTTGTAGCCAGGAAAACTGCAAAGTTCATGTGCACTACAGAGAAACAAGATAAATTAAGAAGTTTGGAGAGAGGAAAGATTGCTTTTCCTGTCCTTTTACAAGAGCAATACAGTGTAGTGTTCACAAATATAATGTCAGTAAGAGGACAGGACACAGTGCTTCAGTAACCGGAACGTAAGCCTGCAACAGCCGCAGATACACCCACATAACCTCTTTTTCACTTTTAAAAGGCTCGTAGGCTGGAGGTCTTCTAAAATTAACTCAAGAAATCAATCTGTACCAAAGGATTTTAATCCTTCTTAACTCTGATTTGAAGATTAAAGAGCAAACCTTAAATCCCTGGGACTTGATAAACCAAAGATTTAGTGCTAATGAAGCACATTTCAGTACATGTGAAGAAACCCAATGTCTATTTTCTATTTTTGCATGAATCTTACAACTGCTAAAAGGAAGCTACGTTTTTCCACCTTTCTTACCTGAAATACTCATTTGCTATTAAAGGTTTATTCTCAAATTGATATCTTTAGATTATTTAAATGCCATGATGATAAACAAAAGCCAAAAGAAAACACATTTTATTTACAGCTTTGAATTATCTTCTGAAACAAAAGATTACAGGCTTCCTAAAGCATTGACTTAAAATACATTTCTGTTTAAGCAGTCAATACGGATTAGTGATTTCAGAAAATGCTAATATATTAAAAGTCATCATCTCTACAGAAACCTGTCAAATGAGCATTTCTTTTCCAATTTTCACATGTCTAGCAATGGTTACGAGGCTTAAAGCTCCCTCACACCAGGCACAGAGACGTACATAGGAGTATTGTATCTAAAACTGATTATGCACAACTTTGAGCGAATGAAATCACCCATTTTCCTGCATATGAAAATGAAGATACAAGCAGTGTATGACGTTATTTTTGAATATGTATGCTCAAAACATTTAATCTTCCCACAGGTATGCAAACATACATCAACATTTGACCGCGTAACTACAGCACAATTACATATGCATAATGAGCGATTACATGTGCATAACGAGCTCCTTGTATTTGTTTGCGTATGGGCAATTTTTTTTTATATGTTAGTGCTATAAGCCAGGTATAACAGTAACTTCAGATGAACACAATTTTTTATGCTAAACACAAAAGGCTGCGAAAAACAATGGATACCTGGCTTGATTTTCAGCGAAGACCCAAAGCAGAATGTTGAATATTATTTAATCCCACGATGAAACCAGGGCCCCATATCTCGAAAGCATCACGTATTATGAATAGCTATATCACATAGAGGCTACAAGGTATTATATGGGGTGATTATGGGCGAGTTATGGAATCGAGACGGTCGCAATGCGCGATGCTTTCAAGATACGGGGCCCTGAACACCCGTCTAGGTCTAGTTATCACAAAATGTTTCCCTTATACCTATAAAACGAGGTTATATTTTGATCGATTGGCCCCTATTTTTCTTTGATAGTGGACAAAATGTGTTAAAAAGTTCTTCATAAGCTTTGATGAAATTTTCAGAATGCACAGTTATTCGGCAGTGGAAAAAGTGAGTTCAATCTCAACTGAATCCAAGTCTTCTAATAAATTAAAAATGCTTTTTATCATCCTTTTAGCCAATGGGTGTCTTTGCTCCTGGAATTCACCTATTACTTGCATTTTTTCTCTCCTTTCTAACCTAATCCTTAGAATAATCCACAGAGGGGAAGGCATAGAAACTTACTTGTTGACGTTTTGCAATTTTCCCAACCGCTTCCAATTAAAACTTTTAAGACTTCATACAGCAATGGAGAATGTTCCCTCAAGATAAATCGAGACAATACGAGTCCATATTCCAACTCGTCTACATGACTCACTTCTTCTTTCCTTGACATGACTAGCGTTTTAATCAATATCAACCAATCGTACCAAAAAAACGGCAAAAACTACATTTGAACACATTTTAAAATCAAGTATTTTTAGGTTTCACTAGTTTTTTTTTTTTATTGTCTTTGCTAAACCATTTAAAAGTTTTTATCTCTCTCTGTTTATTTTTGATACAGTGCACTGCTCAGCCATTACATTGTCAATCTTACATAGTGTACTAAAGGTTACATCAACATTGAAAAACTAGAAAGCGATCCAGTTCCATGGGATATAGAAGCCACTAAAAATGCTAATGTCTGAAAAATTAAAAAAAACTCATAAAAAAAAAAATTAATAATTACCGTAAATGTACAATGATCATGCTGATTTTCGAAATTAACCTGCCTTTTTACCAAACAAAGCCACTCAGTGAATTAAATGTAAAACAAAAATATCGTTTGGAAGTTACGGGGCACAGACAGATCAATCAGAATATATAAAAGTATATATATATAAAAACCACAGTGAAGAAGAAAATGTTCAGACACATGCAAACATACACACACACACACACACACACACACGCACACACACTTACTGTTGTTGTTGAGGTGCTTCAGGTGACCCAGAAACTGAAGGGGACAACTGTTGCTGGTTGTCTTTTTTGTCTTTTCCCATCGTCCATAGCCAGAGTGGTCTACGGGGGACGCTTAGCAAACCAAACACTAGGCCTCAAGCCTAATCTGAAATGTGATAAATACATCAAAATTTTCAACAACTTTGATTTTTCTAACATCAAACTTTTTCAGGAATTAAGGATTTCAAACACTCACAAAGATGCACTTCAGTTGTGGTCCATATACCCTTATTTTACTTCTATTAGTATCATTTACTTATTCATTTAGTAATTCATTTATTAATTTCTTGTATTTGTCATTGTTTTTATTGTTATAAGGGAGCATTCCCATAAACACATCATACTAGCTGGATCGATCTAACTCTGCCGGGATTCTCGCTAAACTGCATTCAGTGAAAGTGGCTTTAATGTCTGGCACTCCTGTTCAAGCTGCTGGGGGGTAATTAACAATTGGTAATTAAGCTGATTACACTGAAAGCACTCTAGCGAGAAGTCAGTCCTAAATTTGCATTTTGCCACTTATCTACTAAATGTCAGATGTATTCACACCATTTTTTCATTCGATACGCTATATTTAAATGTATTTTTGAGAACCATTAATTGCTGACTAACAAAACAGACTAAATTCATAAAATGGTGTGAAATTCCTCATCTCCAGAATATTTTAACACTAAATTTGGATAGAAAATAACTAAAATTAACTCACTTTTTTATTATTTTCACTTACCTAACTGAATCAGCTGATTATTCCTCTTTTGCCACCGCAAAAGGGACCTTAGTTTATCAACTGCTGGTGTTTTGTATTTTGATCTGAAACAAGAAACCAATATAATTTTTAGATACATTAACCTTGTCTTTGTAATGATGCCCCCTGTACACAAGAAGTATTTTATCCTAGGACAGCAAATAGATACCAAGTGCAGTCAAACAGATATATATACATTATCCCAGAATAGACTACAGGCCTACCCAACTACCAGACTTGGCACCAAATGATCCTGAATTCACCGGTTGATCGGAGCACAATACCGTTTTCAAGGTATGCGTCAGTACTAGTACGCGCTTCGAAGTATCAGATGCTACAACCCGCTCTTGCCTACTACGTGATGTGATAGCGATGATTCTGAGCGGGATTGGAAAGTAGTGCATCTCATCTCAAAATTTGTTCGTGGGTATGATACTGTGAAATGAGTACTGATGCACACCTTGAAAACGGGTGGTGTGGTCCGATCTACAAGTGAATTCGGGATCATAGGGTGCCGAGTCTGGTACTGTAGTTGGGTAGGCCTGGACTACCCATATGACATTTTATCCTAGGACAGGGCACGTCAAATAGATACCTTATTCCAGAACAAAATGTCTTACTCATTTCATCTTAGGGCAGCATCTGTCAAATTTATACCTTATACCAGAACAGAATATCCCAGTTGGACATTTTTTCCTAGGACAGAACATGTCATCGACAAATGGATACCCTCTCCCGGGATGGAATCGAATATATTATCGTAGGACAGTACGCGTCACACAGATGTTCCTTCCTTTACAAACTAGAGGATCAGAGAGGCACTACGGCCTCCTGGTTTTGTACCACCAGCAAGAGTAGGGGTATTCAAGTTGGAGGGAAGGTATGGATGGATATGTGTTAGTTGTGGAAGAGTAGGGTTGGGTCAATGTTGTAAGAGTATTTTATGGGCAGAAGTAGAATAAAGGTCAAATTCAAGTGGTAGGGTTGGGTCAATGTTGTAAGAGTATTTTATGGGCAGAAGTAGAATAAAGGTCAAATTCAAGTGGTAGGGTTGGGTCAATGTTGTAAGAGTATTTTATGGGCAGAAGTAGAATAAAGGTCAAATTCAAGTGGTAGGGTTGGGTCAATGTTGTAAGAGTATTTTATGGGCAGAAGTAGAATAAAGGTCAAATTCAAGTGGTAGGGTTGGGTCAATGTTGTAAGAGTATTTTATGGGCAGAAGTAGAATAAAGGTCAAATTCAAGTGGTAGGGTTGGGTCAATGTTGTAAGAGTATTTTATGGGCAGAAGTAGAATAAAGGTCAAATTCAAGTAGTAGGGTTGGGTCAATGTTGTAAGAGTATTTTATGGGCAGAAGTAGAATAAAGGTCAAATTCAAGTGAAGGTGAAGATATTCAATGTATAATTGTTTACAGAATATGCCTTTTTTTTTTCAAAATCGTGAGAAAAAGTCAGACTTTATGAAAGGCCAATAAAACTGTCAGACATTCTGTCTGACAAACTTGAAGATTCTGTTAGACTATTACCCTATTCAGACTACAGTTGCAAAAATACGCATTTATATAATTCGAATTTTTTGTGAGGAATTCGATTCGGTATTACGTTCACACACGCGAAGAGAAACCGAATCACACGTTGTAAATTTCAGGTTTAACTTCCTGTTTTGAACGCTCACGCATGCGCCGCACAGGAAATCTTAAAATACCAACAAAACTCAAATGCAACTCAAAAGACATTCCAGCATTCTTGAGAAGTATAAGATGGCAAAATAAGTTTATGTTTCCTCATGTTGTAGTGAGTGGTGACTTCCAAATACGTTTGGTGCAATAGTTAAAGTAATAAACAAGCGTTCATAAATACCCAAACTTATCTGCACACATGCGCAATAAGATCTGTACAGGTGTCGATTCCGGTAAGTTATTCGAATTGCGCTAAGAAATCCACCTCGCTTGCAGGATTTTGAAAATTCGCATTACAGAAATCCTCTTGCGTTCACACTACTGCATTTATTCAAATTGTGACCTTATTCGCAACTTATCCGGATAACTGAGCGTAGTGTGAATGGGGTATAAAACAAAATCGTAGACACCAAAGCATAATCACTTTACACATTGTGTTTGTATATAAAAAACTGCCACCACCTCTCACGTTACGCTTGACAAGCTCTACAAAATGCAACAAACAAAAGGTCTGTAGCTTTTATGGTTCCAGAAGATGTGTTTTTAGTTTCAGTACCTAATGGCCATGAAAATCCACTTGTGACCCCAAACTCATAAAGATGAAAGGAGACCCCCCCCAAGCATAACTCCACACCACACACTTGGATAGCGTTAACATTCGCCAATTTAGCCAAATGCTACGACTGGCTTAAATTGGCTACACAAGAACGGCTTAGTTTGACTAATTTTTGTCAAATTAAAACCATTTGGATAACTAATTGACAAATAAAGTGGCGATTTGGCTAATTGGAAAAAATTGCTGGCGCTACCCCAGACACATAAAAGCATAGGTCTATATAGTTTCAGAAAAAAATATCGGATTTCCATTTTACAATAAATTTGTAGCTAAAGATCAAGGCTAATTTCTTAATCAAAATCTCCTTACCTACATCCTCACCAGTTTGGCTTGATGACAAAATCATCATCATTCATCACAATATCCTTCTTTATATTAGAAGTCTCTCTCTCTCATCACCAACCTTAGAATACAACATGGTATCTCTCTCTCTCTCTCAACACCAACCTTAGAATACAACATGGTATCTCTCTCTCTCTCTCTCTCTCTCTCTCTCTCAACACCAACCTTAGAATACAACATCGTCTAGCTCTCTCTCTCTCTCAACACCAACCTTAGAATACAACATCGTCTCTCTCTCTCTCTCTCTCTCTCTCTCTCTCTCAACTCCACGGTACAGAGTTACAGCAGTGCTACAACCCCAAATACAATTACCAAGTTTTCATTACCATTACAACAATGGCCAACGGCATCTGCAAGCCTATACTGACAAAATTTTTTGCTCAACATTAACAGCATCCAAGATGTTCACAAATGTTTGTCTTCTTTGGAGTCAATGATAAATATCTAGACATTACACACCAGAACTTAACAACCTTGCTTTCCATGACTCATTGCATTAGGCACGTCTCAAGAGAGATATTTAAGGTTACAGAAGCACATGTTTTTACATGTGCATAAGATCTTGTTTTCAGCCAGTATCACTGATTGGATTAAAACATGCGTACATTTATCAAGAAAAATTGCCACTTTCACTGACGCAGCAGAGAAAAATATTAAGTAATCAAAGCACATTGATTCTTCAATTAACAGCAACTTGTTTCGAAGCGTTGTTCACTTAGCTGATCTAAAGATATACTATCCGTGTTGGAAAACGTCCCAAAGTCAAATTTTCTGTCTGCATATTGTAACAAACCTTTTTTAAATACGGAATGAATGTCCTAAACTTATATTAATTTAATTCAAGCGTGGGCCCGAAATAGGATATTACATTTTTACTTTACTCAGCGCATAACATAATCCAAGATTTCATGGTTTGTGTCAGGTTTTCGTACCGTCGCACAAAGAATACCCAGGTCCACATAATTACCAGCTAAACAATCTATTTCTCAACGCTCATTAACTACATATTATAGGTGAAGTCTCCAACCCTTAGCTCTCCGAAATCACGTCTGTCTTCTGTGTGCTTCCGCAATCTGATCCCAAGGTATTAATTATGAAGGTTTATGGTAAAAACTTGAAAATTTTCTCACTTAAAAATTAGTTGTATTTTAATATGCACGAAAATGACAAACTTTTCAAAATTATCAAAAGGTCCATTTTCAAGTTTGACCAAATTTTCAACTTAAAATTACATTTGGTGGAGATTTGTCTTCCAACAAATTTTTCAAAACCGACTAAATTCTTCTATTTAAGTTATACCCCAATTTCCTATCTCAGATGAATCCAGTGTTGCACTATTACACAGTGCATACAAATATGAATTTACTTGAGACTGCAAGGTTAATTGCTTTACATCGGTGTTGTACAAAAAAGCCACCACATTACTCAAGGACTCTTGGATGACCTTTACTTCAAATGACCTTAAAATTTATCTTTTTGATCTTTATGCCAGACACGACAATATCCTACAAAAAATATGCTTTTCTCCCAATGCAGACTTTATAAATATCATGGCCCCTCAAAAAAAAAAAAAAAAAAAAAAAAAGTACTTCTGATGCAGAATTTCCATCTACAATATACATGAATGCAAGTTATAATGAACTTAATCAAATAAATTGAAAAATGGAATAAATTATCGAAAGCGCTGTTAAGGGTCTCACAATGCTCCGTGAGTAGAATATCGCTTATATTGCAAGGAAATTCAATTTGGTGAGGAAATCTCCAATTGACATAAGGAATATTTCCGTTTAAGCACAGCACACAAACACAGGAGGGGGTAAAGAAAAGGGATCCGACAGAAATTTCTAAGACCATCGTCACACCAACAATGGAGTAAGCTTGTCAGCTATAGCATACTGGAATTTCTGCGGAATATTCAAAATCCCTAGAGAACATTAAAAAGGTCCTTTTGCATTAAATATCCTCACCTCACTGTCCACCTAGGAATCTCAGCATACTTACTGGGGAAAAATGTCCAATGAGATAAATTTACATGTATACCCATAGAAAGAACCATCTTTTTGAAAATACATGTGTTCAATGAAAATAAAACCAGGAATTGTTACAGTTGTGTTTTATCTACGCTGAAGACTATTATCACATACTGCTTATGAAAATATTCTATGGCACAGTTCAATGAACTGTTTCTTATCATAAACTCTTGGGTTTTAAAATTATGTTGTTTTTTTTTTCTTCAAATATTCATTTAAAAAAAATTCATATACACTTCTTGTATGTAGAATTCTTAGGTAGTCTGTAAGACTGCATCTTGTCTTTCACAATGTAAGCGGAAGCCGTAGAAAGGTGTAATTAAATATTCTTGGAAATTAATTTGTCACTCTTTAATTCCTTCAAGTTATATCACTTCCTTTATAGTTACTTCATTGCCA